AAATGTTTCTCTGGGAAATCTCAAACTCTGACTGTATTAGATGATGATTTGCAAAGACACAGGGAAGAAAGAAGTTGTGCAAGGCTCATAGCTAACTCTAACCAAACCTGAGTGCAGAAATTGGGTTTATAGCAGTTTGTGAGGTGTATTCCCCAAGCCAGGTACTGTGCCGGGAGCAATACCCCAGTTTACAATCACATCATGGAAATTACTTTATTTTCTGTGGTAGCATATCCATGTTGCAGTTCTGCTAGATGTATTGAGTGGTCTACAAGGTGAGTCTGTTTGGTGGTCTTTGTTTTTCTACGTAACGGAAACTGAAGGGAGGAGAACTTCCCATGATGACTCAGAGGTGAAAGATCTAGGGCAGAGCCACTGCTACTCATCTCCCCCCTGCAAATCCTCTACTCTTTCTGAGTACAGAGAAAAGACTGTTGCTATAGAAACCAGTGGGGAAAATGTACATTATATCACATTTTATATATTTTTCCAAGGAGACCCTTTAATCTGAGCCTGCCACCATATAATTTTACAGAAACAATAATGTTAATAAAACCCCTAAGAGTAATAGTGATTTCAAATCAAGTCAAATCAAATCTAATCTAATCTAATCAAATCATCATCGCATCGTGTACTTCAAAAACACCTCTGTCTGTAACCTTCTACCTTAGCCAAGACACTGGGACAGGGTTAGGAAGGCAGTCCACAGTATGGTACATGATAGGAGGGTAAATATAAGGCAGGAAAAGGTGTGATGAGGGGTGGGACTTGGGTCATACACAGCAGTAAGTGGCAGTTAGCATTTGAGGAAGGACAAAAGAACTAGAAAAAATGTCTTCAGATTTGACTTGTGTGTAGAGAAGGATGGAATAAAGGTGAAAGGTACATTTTGCAACATACACTGTAGTCTATATTTTCTCTTCTTTACCCACCCAACCTCCTATTACCATCCCACCTTTATGAGCCCCTTCTAAAGCTCTTTTCTACTGCCCTTTTAAAAATTATCTCACCACTTCCTACCTGCCTTTGTGATAATAACAAGCCCTTCAGCCTCCCAGGCCATCAGACCTATTGCACCCTGGGGCCTCTAGGAGACAATGCTCTTTGGGAGGCTGCACCATGAAAGACTCTCTCCAGCACCAGGCTGGCCTGGTGGCAACAGTCCTCCTGGGGATCCATCAGAACAGAAGCCTAATGTAGTCCTCTGGCTGTCAGAACAGGCTTTTGCTCTGCCCTTCCCACCCTCAATTTATTTTTTACTTAATTCGCCATGACCACTATTTCCTTCCTGATTTGTACTGACCCTGTGACTTAATTACATTTTTGTCATTATTTATAGTTGCTTCTATAATGTGTTGACTTGTAATTTCTTCAGGACAAGGACTTTCTTGTTGTGTAGAGCATTGTACAAAATAAATCTCAGCCCTGTCTTATTCCAGGGCTGTGTCTGATCCTCAGTTAGGTGCATGTCCCTGCTTGTTGTCCTGAAAGTAGGCACATTAAAAACATTGGTGAGGTTTTGTACCACTAATGCTAGATTTTATATACTTCAACGTAGGTCAAGGTAGCTATTGGAACAAAGCAACTTAATTACACTAGGTAAAACCAAGTAAAAGAACACCTGCTTGCAGCATCTTTGCCAGAGAATCCCTTCCTCCAGATCTGCCCTTAGTCCTGTATATTTTCATGACTTTTTGGGTTTCAGTAAGTTCTGTCCAGGCCCCTTGAATCTCAAGGAGATAAAAAAAAAAGAAAAAGTATTTTTTCTTTCTATTGCTTCGAAAGCCTGACTGTTGTTCTGCTTTTTGCTCCTTCAAGATTTTACAGTTTCTTTGCACACATAATAGTTTCCCTTAGAGCTCTTCCCTGCTCTAGTTTACAGCCAGCCACATTCCGAGGTTAGCAGAGAAGAAATAGTTCTCTTTTCCTTTTCCTGCCTTGCCTTATGACCCTGTGCAAACAGGTAGCCTTGCTCTCTGTTTTCCAGACCCAGGCCTTTCCACAGAACATAATGGCTGTTAACTGTGAATAAAAAACTGATACACATACTGTCTGGTTTAGGGGCTGTAAGCACTTCTACAGCCCAAATAATATATGAATATTAATAGAATTACTTTAATGAAAAAGTAAAAACAAAAACAAAAAAATATATCCTCGGGAGCATGATAATCTAACTTTAAAAGCACTTGTCATCAGTAACCAAATGCAGAGAAAAGACTAGGATTACTTTAATAAGATCATCTGCTTGTTGCCACTTGTTTCTGTGGGTGACGGAAATGCTGCCTTTACCTTTCTTCCCAGCTAGTTTCTCAGATGCTTTGTACCCTAGAAAGTGAAGCTGGACTGTGAAGCTGGGGCTCACAGTCATCCTGTGGGATCCAGCATATCTCAGTGAGCATCTGCTCCTTGGTCTTCAGCTTCCCCTACTCTTGTGCCCTTGTTGACACCGCAACATTTTTTTTCCGTACCCTTTGGCTTCATATCCATGATGAAAATGGCAGGAATGTGAGGACATATAAGGGTGAGGAAAGGTGGAGATGGAAGGACAGTAGGGAAAATAATTGTAAGAAGGTCAGTGTTGTAAGACAAAAGCAGAGACTTGATAATTATGAAGGCTCTTTAAAACCTCATCTTTATCCAGCAGGCCAGAGAGAGTGGACATAGGCTCAATAAGACAGCGCATCATCTACAGTGCAAGGTTTCCTTTAGCTTCCTGAAGCCCCTTAACCCAACCAATGGCCAGTGCTCATGCCCTACTCACTCCATTTTGAACCCCTCCTTGTCCGTGTGGCACTTGAGTCACAGAGCTTGACCATGGGTACATTCAGTAGTCATGCACTTGGGTGGAGAGTCTGTAGAGAAGTGGGCATGTGCTTGGTGGGACCAAGACTCATGCAGTGGATGAGCTGGTGCAGATGGTAAGATGGAGACACTGCTGAGAGCAACAGTGATGCCTCTGCAGAATCCACATTAAATCACACCACGGATGAGCATGCCAGGTCTGCACATGAAGGACAAAGTTGTTGTTCTGTCATATTGGAGGCGGTATGGGGAAGAGTAACTGTCTGCTTCTGTGGGCATCTGCATATGTAAGTTAATATTCAAATGGAAAGGGAGGGGAGGGGAGGGGAGGGGAAGGGAAGGGAAGGGAAGGGAAGGGAAGGGAAGGGAAGGGAAGGAAAAGGAAGAAGAAGGAAAGAGGGGAAGGGAAGGGAAGGGAAGGGAAGGGAAGGGAAGGGAAGGGAAGGGAAGGGAAGGGAAGGGAAGGGAAGGGAAGGGAAGGGAAGGGAAGGGAAGGGAAGGGAAGGGAAGGGAAGGGAAGGGAAGGGAAGGGAAGGGAAGGGAAGGGAAGGGAAGAAAAAGAAATATGTAGTATAGACAAAGTTCTCTTACAAAAGGACCAGTGTGTAAGCCCTGGTGCCCACGGGACACAAAAGGCTCTTCTAGAACTTACTAGAGATCTCATCAGGGGTCTCAACCCATAACTCACTTGCGTAGCTGCACTTCCCTCATTATTCTTGGAGAAAATATAAATGACTAGGATACAGCTAATAAATAAATCAGGTTTAATCATAAACCATGTACATATTTATGGAAAGAGAGGGAGACATGGTCTGAAAGGTGCTGTCTTGGCAACAGGAATAAAAGAACAGTGTATTTTACCAGTCAATATACAGTACCAACGAAGGGTGGAGCTGATAAATGAATATGGGATTCTGAGTGCCAGAGGCTAATTTTTGCAGACAACCATCATTCTTGATTTCCTGTCAAATTATAACATGAACTAGCTCACAGCTCTGCCCAGGACACAGCAAGACAGATATAGCCAAGGACAGAATTTGAGGGTGAGGGAGGGACAAGATATCTGAAGGTCATTCTGAGGTATATATAACATATCTACTCTACTGTTGTGTACAGTCTTGGGGCCATGTTTTGCCCACAGTTATGTATGCACACATCTCATTCCAGTCAGCAAGAGTGGCAAGCTCATATCTGAGAGGGGCTCTGAGAGCACACAGGAGCATATTGAACAACAAAGCCAGACTCAGAACAGCGAGAGAGATGGAGACAAGGAAGCCTGGACTGGGCTGAGAAAGGGAAGAACTGAACAGACAGACCCAGATTTATCTGGCCAGTCAGCACAGCCCTGTCTGGACAGCCAGCACAAAGCTTCTGTTCAGAAGGACTTCTGCAGTGCAAAGGTTTCCACTAAGGCAACCTTTATCATACACAGGGAAAACCATGAACAAAATGACTAGAGGGATGTTAACAGATGAAATATGATGGAGCTGGCCCTACAGCCTTTCAGTTCTTAATTTTGAAGGAAAACCTAGTACTGCTTCTGAAGTGGTCTAAGCCTACACATCAATCTGGTCAGTCTTGGCTGATGTAGGCAGAGGAAGGAACCATTGCTCCAGTAGCCAGCAAGGCAAAGGGTGGCATTTGTACTACAGTATTCAGAGTCAGTGTGGCTGCTTTGAGAAACATTATCACGCCAAGTTTGCAAAGCAGTCAAATGTATTGGCTTTTTGCAGGACAATTTCACTTGCAGTCATTGTACATACAGTTTTACAGATGAAAACACCTTTCACTGCTAGAAAGTAGACACTGTTTTGATAGCAAATGCACTTGCCATCTGATTTTGCTAAGAACCCACCTCCAGACAATAAAAAAACCCAAATCCCAAATAAAATCTATAATACAAAGCAACACTCATGTCGATGTCAAATGATAGTTGTCCCAGCAAACATAAAATCAAGATCTTAATGCAGGTTCCCTCAGAAGTAAGTTAGAATCATGTGTCCGTATACAGAGTCCACTTCCAATCTGGGCAACCTCAGTTAAGACTGCTGCCCTTTGAAATGCAAGTCTAATTTTTTAAAGGAGAGCTCCACACATGCATGCACGCATACACACAGACACACAGATACACACATACACACATATAAGTTTCTCTCTCTTAGCAAGAGCTGCACACTGAGTAACTGTGCATTTTTGACCTACTTTCTTTGTAAGGGTGAGGCTGAAACATCTTTACTTCTCAGTATTCTTTAAACAAAAAGTGGAACGAAGAGTAACTATATTACAAGGACTCAGAAATGCACTCGTATCTCAGGCATATGATTTTTTCCAGTCATTTACAAGGATGGTGTTATTTACATTCGTGATTCAGCAGAATCCACAAGGAGAGTTATCCTTTCTACATACTGGCTTTTCTTGATGATCCCAATGACCTCATTCTGTGCTTCCACAGACCACTTTTCTTTAAGGCACTGAGCGTGGATGATGATTTCAGACAGAAGTGCAAGCCCCCTTCACTGGATCGTGCATTTCTCCCTCTCCCTGGACTGACCTTCCCTGAGAACTTTCGATTTGATATACTTCAGGTCACTATTGACACTTGGACGGCGAGCAAAGGGAGAGATCATGCCATAGGCGTCCATGTCCTTGACTCGACGCATCCGGAAAGATTTCTGTTGGAAAGTGTCACCATACTGGATGGAGATTTTCCTATGGAGGGAGGGGCTCATCTCATGAGGTAGCTTGGCCATGCTGAAGAGGACATAGAACATCTCATCCACATTGGTGTTCTTCTTGGCTGAAACTTCAAAGTAAGCACAGTTTTCGTCACTGGAGACAAGGTTCTCACCTTCATCTGAGCGTACCTTGCGAAAGATTTCACTGTGGTCATTTTTGTTGCCACAGATCACCATGGGGAGGTCAGCTGATTCCTTAGTCTTATTCTTCAGGCAGGATTTGACCTCCAGGATCTGTTTTTGGAGCCTCTTGACCTCATCAAAAGATTCTCTGTTGTCCAAGCTGAATACCAGGATGAAAACATCCCCTGCAATTAAAAAAAGGTAAAGGCTTGTTGGTCACAGCCTGTGCCAAATGAGCTAATTTTGAAAAAGCACTAGGTTTATTTGCCATCTCCTCCCCATATTTTTGTCTGGTCCTTTTAAATCTATTCACTCAGCTGTACTTTAATTCCAGTTCTTCTAATTTAACTCCTCATACCTTTCTGTAGCGCTATGAAAAAGGTTTTTGGCTATGATGTTACTTCAGCCATATCCAGTCGTGTTCGTGGGCTGCACTGGACTTGCAAGTTATTGCCCATTTTGCTTCCTTTTGTAAACATGTTTCTATCTCAGCTCTGCTGCATTGCTTTTCTTTTCTCTTCCTTTCATTTTTGTCTCCATGTAAAACACAGTCTGCTCTGACACCAGGAAGAGTGAGGAGCTAGTAGCCACTCAGCCTTGGCCTTTTGACTGCACAACACATGAAGTAACACCTGAACTGAAGAATTACAGCCAGACCATCCCAAATGCCTAAGTCATGAATGAGAGGTTTCCCAACGTGCAGTGCTCTGCTGTCATTTCATTTGCTCGAGAGAAACAGACCATGGAAAAAAAAGGAATACATAAATGACACAGATCCCCTGGCATTTCCTTTTGACATTTCCTGATTTACAGTTCCTTTTGCAAATATAAAATAACACAAATCATTGCCTGTTGAATGACACTCATGTGGAACATGCTAAGAGAGTTTTCAGGGACGAAAGCTCACATCTGCATCCCAAAAACCAGCCCTACGACCTCACTGAATGTGGTCACTAGCCTGGTCAGATGTAAACATCGTGTTTCACTGGCTAGTTAAAAGGGTAGATAGCAAATCCAGAAAATGGGTTTGTTTTTGGCTGTGGCTCACTATATTGCTGCTGCCACTTTGACAATTAAAGAATACATCTTAGCTCACAACAGGAATTGCTTGACAATGACAACATACAAAATGAGCCTACCATTTCCCCTTTTTTTCCATTTAACACATTTGATTAACTATAGACTAAGGAGAAAGGGTAAAAGCATTCTCTTACTGGAATAGCAAATCAAGGGAATCAGGCTGGGAATTTTAGGGAAAAAAGAAACCTTTGAGATTTTCTTGGTTAGAATTCAGTTCCTGTGTGGTTTACATTTATTTTGCACTGCTTGTGTTTTATAACAACATGCTTATTTTGTCCCTTGCTGCCCTTTATGCCCGTGAGATTTTATTCAGCCTTTCATTTGTGACTGCAATAAAAAATATGGAGCATGAGAGGAAGATGGGGGAAATAAACCAGGGAGAAATCTCAATTTCAGACTTTCAGTGAGTGGACCTCTGTTCTGAGGCTGATGCACTCGCTATAGTGCCTGGAGCACACCACCCAGGAAATATTTCTCTAGAGAAGTGCATTTGCAAGAAAATCAAGCAGTCCTTTTAGCTGCCTCCCAAGGAACCGTCATCTCCAGGCTACAGTTTTCAAGTTAACGTCTATCCTCATGATCTTTCACCCACCAATCCCCATTTGTGAACTTCCCCTCTATTTCTCACCTGTCAAGATGGAAAGCCTCCTCATAGCTGGGAAAGGGTGATTCCCGGAGGTGTCAAGGATGTCCAGCTGATACATGTCACCTCGGATGTTGTAGACCTTGCGGTGAAAATCCTCAATGGTGGGAGTGTACTGGTCCTCAAACCGGCCATTGAGAAAGCGTGAGACGATGGAGCTTTTCCCCACCCTGGAGGCTCCCAGCACTACCATGCGGTACGAGTTCTTGGCTGGCACGTTCAGGGTGCAGTTTCCACCAGACATGGTCTTCATCATTGCTTGGTCCTGAAAGAAGAAACAGTGAAGTTGGAAGAAAGACCAGAAACTGAATGGAAGACAGAGTAGTGCAGCTCTTTACCACAAGATTGTAAAAGAAGGTTCTGGAGCACAGTCCTGGTTAGGAGATCAATGGTACATGCAGACATTTTTCACTGGAAATTCTTAATTTTTTCAGTCTCAATTCCAGGGAGTAGGGTTGGGGTTTGTTGATTTTTGTTTTGTTCTTTTGTTACTGTTGTTGAGTGTTTTCTCTTCTTTTAAAGTCATATAGAAATGAAGCCATTTACATTGAAAATAGCACAGTTTTGAATTGTAATTTGCTATTTCATTTAAACATTAAGGGCTAATTTTATCAGCTGGGCTTCAACTTAGACACCAGGTTACTTCCCACCATTTGCGTCACTTAGACGTTACCAGATTTTTTAGTTGAGCTTGGTTCTCATTTAGATACATAAACACAGAGGTCAGATTTCTCAATATACTGCATCCACTGCAGCTGCCATTAGGACCTAGATAGCTTCATCTGGTTGCCTAAATAGGAGCTGCGCATAATTTTCTTAGATCAACCAAAAGTCAGGCAGAAACAAGAATCATGCTTGACATCAGCGGAAACTAGACATCTCAGTTGACTTCAAATAACTGGTCCCATACAACCTTCGCTGGTGATGCAGGGAGTTTGAGCCACAAAATACCACTGGCCGGTGATAAATTCAAAGATCTGTGCCTTCGGTGACCTTATAGAAATCAGATTTTAATCTTGCTGTTTGGACTGGTAGTGTGGGAGCTCCCTATCAACAAACAACCAGCATTGCAGCAGGAAGGCTGACAATGGATGGAATTGCAGAAATGCAGATTTCATAGGAGTTTCAGTCTTTACACATACAAAGCTGTTGTGCCTGTCACAGTCTTCACGTGTGCTAAGTACAAGCATGAGAGAAGATGAAGGACAGCCATCTTAAATAGCTATTAGACAAGATTTCCAATGCCTGACAACTAAAATGTCTTGAGACCTTGGAGATTGCATTTTGACATAGCACTCAGAAGCAGAAAACTTTGATGGAAAAATAAAAAAGAGGGTTGCTGAAAGGAGAAATATAACCTCTGTGTGGGGGAAGCTAACCATTAAAGGAAAGAAGGCACGTTTTTGACAGAATTTATTTTGGTTACTAGGAGCTTATTAAAGAATAATCAGGTTCCCGCTGTGCCATTTATTTAACTTAGGTGTTGTTTATTTAATATTACAATGCAAGTACTTTATGTACACTGGAAGATCACTTCTGGGTCCAGATCTGGATTCCTATCTTTCCCTTGAGTGAATTTTATCTCTCAAGCTTTTATGCAGTTGACACTTATCTCAGTCAAAAGCTTAAAATCTTCTACTTTGTTTAACATGCACTAAGCACCAAAGCAGCACTGAAGACACGGTCACTGCTAAATAAAGAAGTCTCTGGAATTCTGATCCAGCATCATTACAAGCGCTGTGCTATAGCCCAAAGCAACAGCAAAACACTACTATTTATTATTATTGCTATAATTTGCTGCACGCCAATGGCACATTCAGCCCTATCTAAAGAACAGAAGAAAATGTAATGCTTTCCTCAGTGTAGCTTACATTCTGAATTATATTCAGCAGGCAGGACAGCATAATATTAGAGCCAGACAGTAATGTCAGAACGTAACTTTGGGTGGACACGTACATGCAGAGTTAGGGTACCATTGCAATAGCTGTGGTGGGAATGACAGCAGGGAACACTCCTGGTGTTTGGACTGCACTCTGTGTTTTATTTAGAACAGGACCCATCTCCAACAGTGCAGAAAACCCAAAAGCAATCTGGACCTGAGTCAACCCTTTCCTGCATAGCAACCACCGGTCTTGCATCCACGGGCAGATAAACGGTGACAGAGCTGCTTTGGGATGTTTCCTTTCACCCTCTCAGGCTTTATTTGACTGACAGAGAAAAGCAGGACAGTAGATTTTGTGAGAAAAACTACAAACTTCTCTACAGCCTGGATTCAGCATTTAGAAATGAGTCAGCTCTTCACACTGGGATAGACCAGTGTAGCTGCATGGGGACAAGTGGACTCTGTTGTTTCACACCTGCTGAAGGTCAGTTTTGTACACCTTGGTGTGGCAGCATCTGGGAGTGAGCACTGTTGCACTTTTTAATCAAATGCCTTATACGTCCTGTAGAGAACGTGCACGCTGGGAGACCTTGATGCTGGCCAGCAGCTTTACAAGTCGAAATCCTACAAATTACATTGCTGACTGACGGGTAACCTGCAAGATGCTGGTGATTAAAGAAACTCTGATCACAAAGCAAAGGAGGTGGACTGTGTCACTGCAGCTACTTTTAGTGCAAGAGGCACTTCTGTCCTCCCCCTTATAATTAATTCCACTGCTTTGGATCTCAGCTAATGTCACTGTACACTGAAGAGCTTGCAGAAGGAGTTGCTGCCACAGCTACCTGCAGATGAAGAGAGTAATGCACAGGGAAGCCAAGTGACCACCCAAGGTCAAACAAATGGGAAGCGTGAACAGACTCTGAGACTCCCACCTTTCAAATTCTCCTTCTCACCTTTCCTCACTCTTGCATCTCTGGTCATTAAATCACAACAGCTTCCACCGCCATCAAAGGCAAAATCCTATGTGCAGCCACGTGCTCATTTCAGGATGCTTTGCCTCAAGGATGTAGATGTGCCGAAGGGGAAGAAGGAGTGTGAAGACATGCAGATTTTTATCTATTAAGGAGTCACTTTATGATGTCCTTGTCTCACCTGTCAAGGCATTTGGTCAAGAAGACTCCTGTTCTTTCGTGACTGCATTTCATTTCATACAAAGTCAGAATATGCTTTTCAGCACTTTGATTCATGGAGTTACTACTCATCCCATCACCTCTGCTACAAATCTGACTCAGAGCATGCCATTGAACCGGGAGCTTATATATGTGTTTTATGTTCTCTCTTCTTATCCCTCCCACAGCAGTTTTTCTCTAGTTCAATTCAATCTGTCTTATTTCCTCCTCAGAAAAGGAATGAAACTTTAGCCTTCACATTCAGGGTGAGGGAGAGTGCAGGGACTTATACATTGAAAAAGATTAAAGGCAAGAGAAAGGAAACAGAGAGAGACCACATGTTCACATACTAAATAAAGCAAAATCAATCAGAAGAGAGCGAGGAGACAAACAACCTCCAGCTGGCTTTAATCTACATCTTTTCCTTCCAGTTTATTAAATGCTTAAGCAAAGATTAATTCCCAGTGGTATCTTCTGTTTTATGCATTGGTTGATGCTAGAAACTTTACGCTAGTATTTTATAGTCGTACAGCACAGGGATTAAAAAATGTCATAGAAATATTGGCAAGCAGTGTTATCTCCACTTAATAAAAGGAAAGGCTCATACACCCAGAGAGAGCTGAAACAGCTGTCTAAAATCAGCATGAAAACCTCTTTTCTTTTGACTCCCTGTGTCATCTACCTGCTAATCACCACTGCTTGTTTCACAGGGAGACACTGGGGTGAATGACAATGCACCTGCTTTTGCATATTCTGAAGAGCAGTTCTCTGAATTCCAGTGAGATGCTGACAGATTTGATCCTGAGCATCTAGGGAGAGCTATCTAAAAGAAAACATCCTTCCTTCAACCTGCCTGGAGATTTTACACTTTAGTTTTCCATCCTCCCATCAGGTATGCTCTCCACCACTCCCTGTCCATAAACAGACTTCTGAACCACCTCTCTTGCACTCCACAGTCTTCAACTAGTCTTTGTGTCTCTTTTTTGCCATCCCAATATAATCCACTTGCAAACAGCTAAAAAGGACACAGGCAGATGCAAACTGTATCATGCATAACAGATCTGTTACTTGCTAATCACTGCTAGCATCCCCATAATTTTCACACACACCACAATCACTCCTGCGGAATGTTTGTTTCCTAAATTCATCCCAAGCTCCATGCTACTTTCTTACCTCTCTTTCCTTGGAGAAGCAGTCCTGGATCTTGGTTCAGTCTGATGAAGCTGATAATTTTAATCAGAGGCTGCCGCTGCTGTAAAAAGCTGTTATTCTGTGGATCCCCTGTTGCTTGCTCTGGGCTAAGTTCGTCACCTAGGAACTTAGCAGGATTGAGAAGGACTGCAGGGCTCCAGAGGGCGTTCCCCCATGGATGGTAAGTACTGGATCAGGCAACGAACGTGGGCTAAAGAAAGGACTCAAACCCAGCAATAGCTTGTCCTCTTGGTGAGATGAGCTCTTCTCCTTACAGTCTCAGTTCGAGAGAAGGAGAGACAGAGTCTCTCCCACTCCCACTGTCTCTTCTTGCAAGTTGCTCTTCCTAGACTTCGCTGCAGGGGAAGGGTCTCTGGAGTGACACCTAGTTGTGCAGGGTCCTGGGTGCATCCGGCTGGCCCACCCTGCCTCTACACCAGCTCAGACCCTATGGAGAAAAATCAGTGGGGGCATGGAAATTGTCTGTGGTGAACCTGTGCTTCCCCAAGTCTTGCCTGGCACAGCTCCCTCCCCAGGCTTCTTTTCTTTCGGTTTGAGATTCACTTTAAAATACTATCTTTCTAGGACAGAAGGGGTTTCTCTCTGCATTTGCTAATTAAGTCTTTCCCCTTCTCTTCCTGCCTGTCTCCCTCTCGATCTCACAACTAACTGGCAAATTGCAGATTTTCCTTCTGTAGGACTCACAGATAATTGGCTCAACTCCTCCCTTGAAGTCAGTGTCAGACACAGGGGAAGGAGGGGTGCTGAGGGGGTGGGATTTTGTGCCTATTGAAAAAATCTTTTCTTTTCCCCTCTAAACAGAAAGTTCATAAGCATTGCAGGCTGCATGCTCCTCGTCTTTCCACCAGAGACCTCTATGTATGCATGCGTGGGGAATGAGCGTATGTGTATGAGAGACGCAGAGACTTCACTTACTTTGCAAGCTGTAAATTTATAAGCTGTTTCTAAAGGCTCTATACTTCTGTGCTGATCTTTTCTGCTAGATAGAAGTGGATTGACTCATTTCCCAAGCAGAGGCTTTCTGTCCATAATTCCCATAATGCTTTTGCTGTATGGAATATTTCCCACTGTTCCCTCAACGTCAAAGATGTTACGTTAGGATTGCTGGTTGGTTTGAATAAGAAATAAGAATAATTTGTAGCTGCTGTTCTTTCATTGATATTTAAATAAAGGAAAAGGTAGACTAGAGCTGGGTAATAAAAATATGAAACAAAGGTCACAACCTGAAAGTTGGGTGGTATGAGGGTCAGAAAAAGAAGAGAAACAAAGAAAAAGAAGAGAAACAAAGAAAAAGGAGAGAAACAAAGAAAAATCAGGGTGAATTAAAGGAGATTGTTCAACCTCAAGTGGAAATTTGTGCTTGCACTTCATTTCATTTTGTATCGACTCTATTTTTTTGGCCTTTTTTGAGCTGAAGTAATAGTTAAAATCTGCAAATCTATTTTAAAAGATGTCAAAAAGATTCATTTTGAAAGATGCGAAATTAAGTATTTCAGCATTTCCCACTTGAAACTCCTAATCAGAGGCAAAAAGAAAAAAGAGGAAGAAAAACGCTTTGAGATTTTTAAGATATTTTGACAATAAGAAATCGGAAGGGAGGCACGACCACCCAAATCCAAATATAGTTTCTCATCTCCTACAGTTCTCTTTCTTTGAGCAAATTTACTCTTCCTTCAACACAAAGATTCCTCCGACTACCTTGTTGGTTTCATCTCCAAAGCCTTCCCCTCCCTGCAACAATTCCTGCAGCTTTTGAGGAATTCCTGAGATGCTTTTCTTTTTCTCTTCCTTCTCCTCCAAGCACGAGTTGAGGTTTCTGTCGTCACCCTTGGAATAATGCTTCCCTCCTTTACCCCTGTTCCCCAGCGCAGCAGCCGTGGAGGAGGGTGACGTGGCTGTTGCACATGGTCTGAGGTGGGTTCTGCTGTAACCATCTGCAAGAGGCAGCAGCTCCTACTAAGGTCAGGCCTGAGCAGGAGATGGATTTGGGTCTCCAGGGTTAACACAAATGCAAAAGCACATTGATCAAATTGGAAGTCAGCAGCTCCTGGCTTCTTCCTAGTGTAGATCACTTTAAGTTTGGGAAGGAGGAGCATGGCTGGGTGCAGCACCATTGAAACAAAACTGGCTTCTGGGATGGATCATGACTCGAACAAAACTCTTTTTAGACCACAATATCAGGACTCCTCTGTCAGTTCCTGAGTCTTTTATCTTTGGCAAAAACTAGAGGATTATTTTTATGGCTCAGACAAACTTTCGATGCTCTCCGTTCCTAAATCATTGGTTCAGATCAAACCTGGACCAAAATCTACCATCTTTAGTGTCTGCTGAATGATTTGTGTAGCTTAGATCAAAACAGACAGACCAGCATCCACGTATCATTGCCATTGCAGGGATTGCTGCAAATATCAGCAAAGTCAAGACCTGTAGTGCTACAGAGAATAAATTCCTCTTTCATTCCTACAGCTCACATGTCAGCCTTACAGGCCAAAAAGGAGAGAAGTGTAACCATCATGGAGACTCATAATCCTGGAATCTCAGCCTACTCAAGCTCTTCTGTAAACCAAATACAAAACTCATGCCTAGCCGGCTTCACCCAGCCCCAACTCCCACTCACGTGTCTTCTTCAGAATTTTAAGTAGCCAATCAAGTTCCTCAAATTATATAAAAATAAAATAGGAACATACTTGACTTGGCATCTTGGCTTTATTTGATCTCTTAGCAATCAGCTAGTAAAGTAATAAATTACTTCTGAAACAAGGCTTTGGAAGATAATTTTTTATGATGAGTCTTCAGAGGCTTGAGAGATGTTGTTGTAGCATCTTGAGTTGAGGTTTTCTTTACTTCGTTTTTTTCTGGTGTGCTGCCAGTTCAGGAGTTGACAAAAGGCTAGGCTTCCATGCTTTCCCTCGGTACTCAGGAGCTCAAAAAATCCCTGCTTTTCCAAAGTCCTGAGGGATTCTCGTGGAGAAGTCATGTTATAGCTGCCCCCATTCGAGAAGTGGGGATGGCAACACCTCTTTGTTTTCGGGGTTATAATGTGAATAAGTAGATCAGAGGGACAAAGCCATTGGCAAGAGAAGTTCCCAGTTCTCTGGTTATTCACATGCCATCAACCTTTCTTACAGCTAACTAATTTAAACGCCAGGCTTACAATTAATTACTCTCTGGAGGCATTTCTTCCTCCTACTCTTCCAGTTTGTAAAGAAAGCCTAAGAATGAGGGGGTTTTTATCTGGCTAAGGCCATCTCAGAGGATGATAGGATGTGGCTGCAGAGAACCACCACCATTACGAGGATCTGTGCCTGCCTTGCCGGGTGCCACTGGCCATGGCTTGTGGTGCAGTCCTCAAGTCGAGTGTCCAGTGTGAGAGACAAGAGAAACAGAATGTGTGGCAGATGAGTTATATCACCTGAACAATGGGGTTTATATAGAACCAACTGAAAGCAAAAGACCTCATTGACATGACAGCTCATTAGCACCTAGAGGTGTCATCACTGAGGGTGGCATGTGGGTCCTGCCAGCTCATCTATGGGGCTGCCTCAGTACCTACCTCAGTAGAAGGTGCTGCAGACGGTTCAGCTGTGGCCAGCAGACAAGACAGCTGTGCTTATTTTGGCTCTGCCTATACCGTGGGTGAGCAGAGAGGGAGGACTGGAGAGGGCAAGTCAAGGGAAGGGGAATAGAAATGTTGTAGGGAGAGGCTGTGTGAAAAGATATACAGAGGAATGGGGTGATACAAGGGGAAAATACTGCTGTCGTGTGTTGCACTAACCACCTGGTTCAGAATGATGGCGAAGACCTAAAGTGACTCCTCAGAGCAGCTTCCTCCTCTTTGAAGAAAAGTGCAGCTCCGAGGCAGCACACACACTGACCACCCTTGCACCAGAATCTGGGGCAGTGTGGGCTCATGAGGCAGAGGCATTACAGTAAGGAGTGATTTATATATTCTGCAGCTCCAGGTACCAGTCGCAGCTGGAGAGAGAGACTGATGCAGCATGACCAATCTGTTTCTCTCCACCTTAAGGCAAATGACAGGAGTGACAATCGCATGCCGCTCAGCTCTGGTCAGAATTAGTTCAAGACAAAAGATGTTCCAAGGCTTTTGTCTCTTCTTCAAAAGCAAATGCAACAGAGATTAAATATTTAAACCAGCTTTTCTCTCTTTTCCCATTAATTTTCACTCCCCTCATTATTCAGTAAAGCAGGCTCATTTTTGCACGCCCTCACCTTCCCTTCCTCCCACATTCATTTCTCTTGCTTGGTGCCCCTCCCTCCAAGCAAGGCTTAGAAATTAGTGCTTAGGAGTCAGTAAACTGTAGGTACCATGTTATATTCTGAACAGCAAGTGGATGAGTAGCCCCAGGTATTACGGCCTCTGCATTACCTGTACCCCCCAGGCATTTAAACTCCCCGAAGGGGTCTCCAGGGGTGTTACAGTGACTGGGAAAATAAATAATGATCATCAGTTATGAGTGAGAACCATAATACTTGGGAGAATACAGCTGGAGAAGGCATACATTTGAGAAAGCGGTGGTCTGACTTATATTCCTGGTCCTATCACAAAATTTGTGTACAACTGCAATTTCTCAGCGTCCCGGGGCGTTAAATGTGTTAATAATATTTGCTGAGATCCCTGCAAAATGGAAAAGCATTTCTTTGCTGTGAAAAACATCCAAGTCACCTCTTACTTGCTGCATTTGCTGTGAATCATTTTTAAATTACATTTTAATGAAATATTTGCGAGAAAAAGCTGCATTTCCTTTCCTTTTGCCACAGACACAGCATGTCCAGATTTTCTCACCAGACAAGCACGCACCCTTTCATTTTCGTTCCATTGTTGAAACTCTTTAAAACTTCCCCATCTTTGAAAAAATTGCTAAGAAGGAAAATCAAAGCTTTAAAAAAAAACCCCATTATTCAAAAAAATCTTCAGGGTAGAACATGCAGGGAAAAAGAACCCAAAGTGTACAATTAATTTCTTTACTCCCAGCGAATACCAAGGGGGGTTGGTTTATAGTCTCCCAGGCAGTGATGGAGGAAAAGCGACCCCCAACCACATCCACCCGTGAAGCCTGTGATCCT